TTTTAAAACTTTCTAATTTGAATCATACATTCGTATCAAATGATACATTTTTAAATTTCAAGTACTTAAGTTGATAAAAAATTTAACTCTCATCAATCATACGAAAACATTTTTGTTTCCTCGTAATTCCCTAGTTAAAAAAAAATAATAATAAAATACTAAAGCTCCCAAGTCTATTTCTCTAGAAAAATAAACAAATAGATTTAAACGACGTCGCTTTTTTGGTGGAATTGAAGATGATTCCTTTGCCTTTCGCCATCTCTTCCCCTAACTATACTCCCCCTGGACAACGCGACGACCGCAGCAGCAATAATCAAATCTTGCTTCGCAGTCTCCTTTGGGGTGTCGGAGCAGAGAAGCTTTCAAAGTTCGGAGCTTTAATTTGAGAGTTTAGAAGAGGATGTTCTACAGAGGGTAAGAGACTATGTCCTTTGGTTATCTTAATTTCATTCTTTTTCCCTCTTTGATCTGTAGCTGAATCTTCTGCTCTTTTTTGCTCAATTCATGTGTCTTGTGGCAATATTTGAGCTGGGTTTTACGAATTCCTTCATCTATACTTGAAATTTTCTGTTTCCTGCATTGGGGTTGTTTTGTTTGTTGTAGTTCACGGTTTTCACGAGCTGGGTAATTAACTTCCTGATTTCTTGTTAGTTTCATAAACCCACGACGCAAGTTTGTTTCTTTCCTTTGGGTTTGAGGTTTATCTGTTTAAGTTCTTGTTACTGATGTTAAAGATGACGCCTTGATAACCCTATTGGTTTTGAACTTGATAGAGAATTTGAAACGATGTTAAAATAGAAGACCTTTTGCTCTATGAATAGATGGGGACGGCAAATTGGCAATACAACTTTAGTGGAGTAGAAACTGAACTAATCACTTTATTTAGGCAAATGAGGCTTTATACTCTTTCATTTTTGTTTATTTCTCCTTCAACTTGCCTTGGCCCTTCTTGTGAAGGAGACAGCAACTGAGTAACACCAGATAAGATTGCCTGTGTCCTATCTTTAGACAAATGTTTGGTTCAGGTAACATGCTAGCTGAGTGCGTCAGGGTGGTTGCGTTAAAAAAAAAAAAAAAATTCGTAGTTATATTTTTGTTGTTATTGTTGTCCAGTTGTCTTAGGTTTTGAGTCAAAATGAATTAGTGAAATATTTAAGTATATTGTGGCGTAAGGAATGATGATGGCATATGTACAAGTGATAGAAGAGTTTCTAGTTTTGGGGAGACTGAGGGAATATGTGAGAGCAAATGAGAGTTAGAACTTAAAAGGCTCTTTGAGAAATGATTTGAGGTAGTCATTTTGGTAGTGGATAGTCTTTCTCACAAAATATTTGTGGTTGTTTGGGTTAACTATATCACTGGTATGTTTCATAAGATGCATGGTAGTGGAGCTTGAGCACTTCTTTTAGAAGGGTTAAGGATCATACAAGGTTATATAGTTCCCTCCCTATGTTTTAAAAATTGGCTAGCATCTATCATTCGGTAAAATTTAATGTATTTTGTGCATGACTGATTAATACAACAGGATTGAAATAAACTATGGAAGGACACACCTTGTCTGTGATTACAGCAAAATTATGATTTCAAATCATGTTATGTAAATGCTTCATGCTTGTACGTATATATATGGAGGTAGATAGACATCTTGAGCATTTTTTTTTTTTTTTTCCTGTGATTCAGAACATGGGTTAATTTGGTAAATGGGGCAGTCTTTTGTTCCCCCTACTTGTTTTGTTTAGTTTTATTTGATTTCATTTACCAATTTAAAGAACACAAGATTGCAATGGCCAATGATGTAGGTGTATTTTGCATTTGCAGTGCTGACCGGTTTGTAATTTAGACATTATGTACTAATTAGTTTTCTTGTTTGTGGCTTCAACGATTTTTCACATCAAAGTAAATTTGCTGATGGCGCTGATGGGCGTGAAATGGGTGCAAAACGTCAGCGGGTGATTGATCAGGGCCCTTCATTCTTTGGAACATCCCCAGGTTCAAGTTTCATGTACAATGCTCCTCCTCCTCCTTACACATATGTTAGCCAACCTCCACCTTTCCCTGTTGTCCGACTTCGTGGTCTTCCCTTTGATTGCACAGAAGCAGATGTCGCGGAGTTCTTCCGTGGATTAGACATAGTTGATGTCCTTTTTGTCCATAAAAGTGGAAAGTTCACTGGTGAAGCATTTTGTGTGTTAGCATATCCTCTCCAGGTTGATTTTGCCCTTCAAAAGAATAGGCAAAATATTGGCAGGAGATATGTAGAAGTTTTCAGAAGCAAGAGGCAGGAATATTACAAGGCAATTGCAAATGAAGTATCAGAAACTCGTAGTGGTTCTCCTCGCAGGAGTATCCCAAGAGCTAAATCATATGATGAGGGGAAGGAGTCAGCTGAACATACAGGAATATTGCGATTAAGGGGGTTGCCGTTTTCAGCAGGCAAAGATGATATAGTGGAGTTCTTTAAAGATTTTGTGCTAGCAGAAGAGGCAATTCATATAATAATGAATTCAGAGGGTAGGCCAAGTGGAGAAGCATATGTGGAGTTTGCCAGTGCAGAAGATTCAAAAGCTGCTATGGCTAAGGATAGGATGACACTTGGGAGTCGTTATATTGAGTTGTTTCCTTCATCCACTGAGGAGATGGATGAGGCCATTGCAAGAGGACGGTGACCCTTCCTTACAATAGGTTTGCTATTTATTTGCTAGTCTGTACTTGTCATGATTTCTAATTTCATCACATTCTTATGGAATTTTGATTTTCTAGTTTCTTTTTTTCTTTTTTGAGTTAATAGTTATACCCTTAGTGGTTGTTAGGGAGCCTTTTGTTATGTGTTGTGAGTTAAGTATAAGGAGCTATGAATGGTGGTCAGACTCTTTAATTATCTCTCTTGTCAAATCTTTTAAGTGCTTGATTAATTACAGCTCATGAACAAACTCTCGTTGCAATTGTATGGATCTGATAGAAAAAGGGTCTGTGTATTACATCAATTTTTTTTTTTCCTTTTGCATTGGATGGTAAAATAGGCAGCAGTTGGCTTTGATTTGCTGAGTGTAGCTTTGCCACATTGATCTAAGTTATGTACTAGTCCAATTCTGTAAAATAGACCATAATGATTGTACAAGCATTGTATATATATATGACACAAATCTTCAAAGTAGGAAAGGGTCTTGCTACCAGAATTTCTCGAGCATTTCTGGTTATATATGTTTAAGAACGGATTCTAGTGCTTGTATATGCTGCCATGAGGATCAGCATGGATTAGGGCCCTCTCTCATACAATGTATTATATGACTGCCTATCTTCAAGATGGTGATCAGAAGTAAAACCAATATATAGATCGAATTGCAAACTTCAATAGGTTCTCTAGGCAAGTCTTTCATGACTTGTAAATGTTGTGTCTTATGAAATTCAGTAATTTGATCATTTCCACTATTACCTTGGTGTCTGTAATGTCATAAAAGTTCATTATTGTAACAGTAATTAACAAAACCTCATCAATTTACATAACATTGTTCTGGAAATGCTGGCGGTTGTCGAGATTCTAAATGTTTGTAGTACTATCCATTTAAGTCCCATAATTACAATGTGAAACCAATCACACCACCGTTACTCCACTCTATAAATCTCTGTGCAGCATTCATGCGCATCCTGCCTGCAACCCGGCGAGGTAGCCGCCACAATTCCAATCCCCTCTTCACCAAACTTATGCTCATCCCCCAGTGTCAGGTTAATTTCATTCACTTGATTTACTCTAATTAATCTTTCTTTATGCAACGCACTGGACATGTTCGTAGAAGTTGGAAATTTTTGATGTGGACAAAAACGCTATAAGATCAAACTTGTCGTTATCCCAAGCGACAAGAAACAAGGTTAAGACAGAGAGAGGCTGCGGAACAATGTTTGTTGAACTAATTTTTTTTTATTAACTTTTCGATATTTAGTGATTATGTTGAATTTTAATTAATTTGAAATCGAACTGCATTGAATCTTATTAGAGGGAAGTTTTTCAAGCACTTATTTCTCTATTTACAAGATTTAAACTCGATATATTATTTAAGAAAAATCAAATACCTTTTATTCTAACCAATAAATTATTAGCTTTGTTGAAGTAAATTTTTTTTTGGTTAAATGCTAAATTTGGTCCCTCAACTTTAGTGAGTTGCACATTTTTGGTCCTTAGCAATTTTTTGCACTTCTTTGATCCTTTAACTATACGAAATGCACTCCATTAGTCCTTCTGTTAATTTCGATCGTTAACTCGCTCACGTGGCATTTTTTATTTTTTTTTTATGACATGGCAAAAGCAAATTAAAAACATGTTGACGTGGAAATTTTTTTCAATGCCAACTCACATTATTATTATTATTTATATTTTAAAAAAATAAACTAATATAATTGGTTCATCTTCTTCCT